GGGGGTGGAAGACTTATTATAGCTCCCTGTTAAGTAGAAACCCGTTCTCACAATCGGGTTTATCCTTGACTCTCTCATGCGCATTTTTCTCCACAATTGCTTATCGAGATGGAGGGAAGGAGTAATCCCCCTTTAGCTGGCCTAACGAGTGTGCTCTGAGGATAGCCGATTTTCCTCGCACGCATCCTCGCACATACGCACAATCAGGCGTGTTTTGATGCTGCTACCTCTGTTTCTGCTGTAGCAGTGGCAGCATTTGCATTAGCAGAGCCAGCACCAGCGGTAGCAGGAGCAGACCCAGTCTCTTCCCCTTCCCACCCTTTTGCCTCCTCCCTCGAAAAAAAGCAGTCATGCCTTCTCTGTCCTACGCGCCCACAAAGGATGGCGTGCGTGCGTGCGTACGTGGGCACGTGTCCGCCAGCCAGCTTAGCGCCTGATTGGTCCCCGTCACCCCTCTCGTCATTGATGCATGCGTGGGCGTGGATGCGTGTCTGGTGCTGGTTCGTGGCTCCCCTTTGCCTGCCTTTCTCTGACTACCTCTCCCCGCCCGTACGCCCTAAACTACCTCTAGCCTGCATCTGATCCTACGCTGCTATGGTCGTGATACGTGAGGCGAGCACCCAGGGGCTGATTAACACCCTGCCGACTTTCAGTACACCTTCCTTGGGTACCCCCACCTCCCTCCTTTTTCCTTCGGTTTGGTGTTTGCTCACATGCCTTGGTCTCTACCTTGGAGACGCCTAAAATGTGCACATTTCTGAGGAAGCAATCGCAATAATATTTGAGTTGCCTTATGCGGGGTGACAACAGCGGGGTGATTTATGCAACGATGATTTTGTCCTTAATCTAAAATTCGAATCACTTATCTTCACCAAATCTACTTCGACGCACTATTGCCTTGTGTTTCTTACGAAATTCCAAAAGCAGGAGCCTATATTCGCGTGCTTACTGATTCGGATAAAATAGTGTGACAAATTTCAGAACAGCATATGACTGTTAAAGCTACTTAATTCTGGGTTGTCATTTCTCATTGTGGAAGGTAGTGTGACCCGGGCACGCTTCTACAATGATTCGATTATTAAACTATCACAATAATGATAGCGATAACCATCATTCTGCTAAGCCTCTGTTTATATTGTGTTTACATTCTGATAAAATTTGATTTTGCAGTTTTGGAAATACTACATTTTTGGTAAACGATGTAAATGATACCTTAAAGCGGTTTGACTTGAGAGCATTTTTATCCCGCTTAAACCGTTAGCTGCTCTCTGCACGTGGCCACGACCCCTGTCTTAAACCCGATTTAAAGGTCTGCAAAATTTTTTGCATCCTTGAAATCATGGTGTGTTCAAATAATCAAAAATTATAGCATCATGGCAATAAATAGCCTGAATGGTCTTTGACAAGACGGAAATTTCGGATCTTCCCTATTATCATTCCGCGAGCCTAAGTAGTCTTCCAAAATACATCTGGACACTTGTGTGATGCATTTAGGTCCAAGTTTGCCTAATTCTGCAGTTCTAAAGCCTCTTGATTGTCAAATATGCTTTATTTATTTCGATGCCTAAGAGTGGTACGTGTTCGAGTAACCTGAGGTAACATCAAGCAGACAGATAGATGTGTTTCAAGGCAACCGAATACGTCGGTGATCGACGTGTTGAACTAACAAAGATAAGTCCTGGCAAACGATCAAGATTACAACATGTATTGTCTATTGAATTGATTGATGGATAGGAGAAATGAATGGTGGACTGACTGAATGAATCGGTGTGTAGGTTGATAAATGAGTAGATTAACGGATGCATGAAAGAATAAAATGATAAATGAATGAATGAACGAAGGGATGTATGGATGGATAAACAGACGGATTTAAGAATCAGGTGGATAGAGTTGGGATAAAGGGCTGTATGGGTAATGAACGGACTAATGGAAGGAAGATTACTAACGATACGAGTTTTTTCAGGGACAAACTAAAGGACCACCTCCGTCACCACGACAGGGCAGCACGAACTTTTGAATGTGCCCAGTGCCTATCTCCCTTCGTCCAAAAGTCCGACCTTAATCGACACGTCCGTGGCGTGCATCAGGGTGAACCCGGCGTCGGCATCAACATGACTGTGCGTCGTCGGATGCCTGGTGAGTTGGTGATTCCTCGTAACCTTCTATTTGTTGGCTATTTGACTGTTTATGGTCAATTATAGCCTCGTCTCCTGCCACTCGGCCATCGAAAAAGAAGAAACCATCTTCAGGTGCAACCACATTGACTTCCACATCCGCCGTTTCCCAGACCACTACAACAGTCTCATCGGCGATTCCCACCCCAGCGTCTGAAGCAGCACTCACGCTAAGGTTGTTCGGTGGTGGCTGTTCGAGTGTCAGCACGACGGCCGCTACAACAGTGACAACAACAACGACACCAGCGGTGCAACCAGTGCAAACTTTACAACAGCAGGTTCAGCAACAGCAGCAAGCATATCCTCAACATCAATTGTTAGCAGCAGCCAGTATGGTGCTGCCTTACTATCCCACACCCGCTGGCCACCACCAGTTCGTGGCCGCTGCACTTTCAGCACAGAAGACTGCGGCCGAGCAGCAGCAACAGCAACTGCAACAACAGCAGCACTCGTTCCAACAGACTCAACAACTTTCATCGTCGGCGCCCTCGATGATGCTGCTTACAAGAATCGCCGCCCATGCCTCTAATCAAGCGGCGCCGGCTCTTGCTGTGGTGCCTCCTACAACTGCTGTTGCAGTAGGTCACTGTATTAACCCAAAGTTTAGTGTGTCCTCGATCCTTTTATCCCTTCCGTACTTTTTGCTGAATAAGCGCTACGATTTTATAATTGTCTCACTAATGCTAATATCTGCCTAAAGTTTACTAGTTTTGGCCAATGTTCTTCTATTTCGATTCGCCATAGTTTTGATTTGGTGCTCAGCAGTAGCTTTGTCATCGAAGTACGTTTGGGCTGGGAAGTCGGTAAAGTAGGCAGCATAAGCAGGGCTTATGGAGAATGGCGAGGAATTAGGAGCGCTCCGCTACCAAAGTGCATTCAAAACGAGTGTCGTTTCGCTCCCTTTTCCTTCGAGCGTCTTCTGCGATGCCTTCCATGGTCATTCATCCACTTCAGCCATCACGAGACATTTGGATGTGTTAAAATTGCCTGTAGAACATGAATGAAGCTCATGGACGTATTTTCACTGAGCCTATACTGGGTTTCAATGATATTACCACTCGCCAGCTTCATTCACGAAGCATCGCTTTCCTGAATCGCTGTTCTGTAGCGAGTGCATTTCGTGTACTCCTCGTTTTTCGAAAGATAGTTTAGGCAACGCATTTTCTTTTAATTAGGCTCTCATTTTCATTTCGATTGCGATCTTTTGTTTCCCTCCTATCTGTTTGGGTCATTTTCAGCTTCCCGCGGCGTAGAGAGTTTTCAATCTTCGCACGTTGTTAATAATTTGGTACGGTATTTTTCCATCGCTGCGAGAAGACTTTCGGCTACAATGCCAGCCCTAACTGAGAACCTTGTTTTGGTAATTTAGGAACGATGCTTCACAGTTATTGCTGTTTGGAAAAAAACTCGTCTATAAGTGAAGATGTCCCATAAAGCCTGCAATATAGTATCACTTCAGGGAGCTACCTTCTGTATTACTTCCTCCTTTCTCCCGTGTCATGTCAACGCTGTTCACCCGACTGGCTGAGCTAAACTGAGCCTTTTGTAGCACAAAATGGCATTTTTTTTCCCGATTTAACTCAAATTTAACTTTGTTCAGGAAAATTTAAACGTGTTTATTTTAGGTAGACGCAAAAGTCAACGTTGATTTAATAGGCCCTCTGCGACTTCAAGTAACTCTGTCAAATTGCCTTCTTTTATGACTTTTTGCGCGTATTAGCCAGCCGACCTGTTGCGCCGTAAATATTTCCTAAAGCACCGACAAAATTTGCCATATTCTTTTACAAAAGCTAATAGGTGTTGAGTGTAATCTTCTGCCGCCACCTGTGTGACATCTGAGTTACCCCGCTAGGCTGTTATGGGCCGCACTAGTTGAAAAACTACCGGCATAAGTGGTCTGGCGGAACTTCACGTCACTCGCCTGGTAGTCTATTCGCGGTGGTCTGGGAATGTCTATGTGTCGGCACATACCATTAAAACATCACTTTGCCCCACAGCCTCCTTTTTTCGGCTCCTCCTGTGGTCCTTTTTTCAATTCGGGTGAATATGTACTGGTTGTTGTCGTAGCAATTTGTCGAGCTTAATTTTTTTTGTCACCTGTTCTAGGGGCAAGCAAACTTGTCTTATTTGACAACAGGTTCACTGGACTTCATTTTCACAATCGTTGTAGGGTATAATCTGTGTTATATTTTAGCCCAAGACCGATCTTTTCTCCACGTAACTTATAGGTGTTGGAGAAACACCATTTTACTGAATTTTCTTGTATACTCGTGATTCCACGTTCCTTTTTTTTCCATTCAAACGGGTGTTAACTTTCTTGTGCAACACGATAGTCCCTTGTCGTCATGCCTGACGCGCATGTACCTGTTCTTACTTTCAAAACACCTCACAGTTAAAATCCCTCTCTCTCTCCTTTGTTTGGACACAGTAGTGTGTGCCCGTCTGGTATTATTCACCTCCCCACACCTCAGCATTTTGCCTATGGCAGTGCTACTGCCTCTCTTTTTTTTCCTTCCGCCATGACTGCGCGTTGCTTAGTGTTACCGCCTTGTGACCACGTGCGGGCGTGGGTGCTTCGTCAGACTAAACTACATCACGCAAAAGTTGGCCTTTTCCTCCTCCTCCTCCCCCCCCGCCATCTCTTCTGTCGAGTTGGGCGCTTACAAGAAGGGGGCACTGGATTTGTATCAAAATACTTAATATTGTGGTGTTTTTGGAAAATTTCTTTCGCCTAAATGGCAGCATGTCTATCGGCGAAAACACCTTCATATGCACAGCGCTCGAGTCATCCCTGAGGCCGTTTTGAGACGTTCAAGTGTGAAATTTGCTCCATCCTAGGGTAGTAGCGTGGATAATATGTACTAAAATCTGCACCACTGGGGTGGATATCTGTATGGTCAAATTTACTATTAAAGTGATATCATAAAGAGGACCTGTGAGACCAAAAGTGTAGGCAGCATAAGCAGGCCTCCGTGCCTCCGAAGTGGGGGTCCAATCAGGAGAGGCTAGCAAGATCTGCATAGTTAACTACTCATTCGATGCAACTAGCATTCCTGTTACAGCTCAGTCGTGGTGAACTGTTAAAACAATGCGAGTATTTAGATCTTGAAAATGTAATGTTTCTGTTACTCCATGGCGAAACATGCTGAATAGTTTAACATTTATCCACGTGTGATCAAGTGGAGACGGCCTCGGCAGGCCGTGCCTTCATGAAAGTTATCATCGTTTTGGTCGTCTTTGACGTTTTCTCATCCACTTTCTGTTTAACGAAGCGGCAGCAGAGTAACTAGTAAGTAGCCACTCTTCCACGGTTTTGCTTCCCTACAGTTTTTTGTAGGTACGGGAACTGGGTTATCTCGGAGGTTTTTTGCGAGGTAAAAGTCTGAAAGTAATTCCTTTGCAAGCGTATGGAAGAATCAGGAGTCCGGTAGTATACTGCTAGATTCTCCAGCCATCGAAGCATTAGAAACCTGTAAGGTCTACATGACTGAGTACATTATTTCAAGCCAATATCACCATCAGCGACAAAACCTCCTTAAAGGGCTTAAAAGTAAATCCTTTTCTTCCTCAGTTTTAATTAGTTGGACAGTTGCCTGGACCGTGAATTTATTTGTCGGCAGTACCCAATGTTATTTAAACTTCAGGCGCTTTAAGGCAGTAGCAGCTTAATTGACTCTTATAATGTGGTGTGTTTTGCAATACCATATATAAAAGAGTGGAGGAGCTTGATCTTATCAACTAACTTCGCATTTTATTCGACGATATTCATTAAATTCTGAGCAGGAGTGGGTACGTGCATTTACGAAATGCCGTTTTAGGCATTCTTTCTTGTAAACAATGTTTTGAAGTTCTTTTCCCCTACACATTTATGATACCTAGACGTCGACGGCAGCCCAACAGTGTGAGGCCACATCAGACTCGGCTACAACACAGGTGGATCAACAGCAAGTTTTGGCTCAACAACAACAGCAGCAGCAGTATCAACACCCTCAACTCGCTTATCATCACTACCACCAGCATCTTCTTCACCAACAAGCAGCTCAGCTACAAGCCCATCATTATGCAGCTGCCGATTTAAACTACTACCGACAACAGCAATTGGCGGCACACCAACGTGTCTATCAGCAGGCGCAGGGCTTCCTGCTTGCCGCCACTGCAGCGGGCAGTGGTGGCGGCGGAGCAGTGGGTGGAGGGAGCGGAGGAGGCATCAGTGGTAGCGCTAGTGGTGGTGGGGGCAGCGGCACCGCCTTCTTCTGCCAACCCGCCGCCGCTGTCACTGCTAACGAGAGCGCAGTGAATGGCACCGGAGTTATTCTTTCTGCTGCCGCGGCTGCCGCTACTACTGACCCCACCACCGCGCAACAGTTAGCTCAGCTTGCCGCTGCTGCTCATATGCAACAGGCAGTTGCTGCTGGAGGTGGATTGCAAGTGAGTAACTATTCGTTCACTATGACTCGGAGAAGTCTTGATGATAATCGTTTGTACGTTTGAACCGGTGATACGACTATTTACACCTGGTGACTTTTGCAGAAGTGTAAATATATATTAAAGACGGCTGTGAAACAACCTTCAACCTCACCTGAAGCAACAGCGTTCTAGTGGTGGCGCAAACTCATCCCCACCGATGGTTGAGAACGAACCTTGGAATGGATTCAAAACAAAGCCCTAGCAATAAAACTCAAACTTAAATAGAGCCCTCTATGCGCTACTTATGGACAGTGCAAGTATTACATCACAAAGGAAGGTGACTCAGTATGTCTAAGGTAATGCTTTATTTCATGTGGAGTTGTCTTACCTAATGTTACGCCGGGTGGATAGTTCTAGCGGAATAGTTGGCTGCTCTTGCATTTGCTGTCATAAGCTGTCACTTCTGAAATGTAGATTGCTGCGTCAAAGAGAGGAGAACAGCCTTCTCTCCTACTTGGACAGAAGCAGGTAATCAACTTCTTTAATATCCTTGCTGTGTGTTACTAAACTTGTCTACAAGTAAGTTGTAAATTTTGGTATTGGTTGAAGAAGCGCGGGGATTGTGGAGCACTCCAAACACCTGGCTACGAGTCATATTACCGATTTTCCAAATCGGTTGGGTGAAGAGGAAGTGATAAATTGTGTTGCTTGCAGGAACCGACCTTGATGGATTGAAGAATTGGTGCCGGCAAGATACCAAACAAGTGCCAAGCTATTGTGAAA